TTAATTCACTACCTTTGGTATATATTTACCTTAACAGTGAGATTTATAATTTCATATGTTTTGTTGTTGCTAATTAGTGCCTTTTTTCAGCTTAAAGGTGTCCATTTAACATTCCTTGTAAGGCTGGTTTAGTGGTGATGAACACTTTTAGCTTTTGCTTGTCCTGAAAATTCTTTATTTCTTCCTCAAGTCTAAATGAAAACTTTCCCAGGTAAAGTATTCTTGGTGGAATCCATTTTTTTTTTTTTATCAGCACTTTGAATAAATTGTGCCTCTCCTTTCTGGCTGCAAAGGTTTTGCTTAAAAATCTGCTGATATTCATATGTTGGTTCCCTTACATGTAACAAGTTGGTTTTGTCATGCTGCTTTTAAGATTTTCTCTTTATCTGTAATTTTTGACATTTTAATTATACTGCATCTGAGTGTGGATCTCTTTGAGTTCATCTTATTTGGAATTCTCAGGACTTCCTGGATCTGGATGTCTGTTTCCATCCACAGGTTAGGAAAGTTTTCAGTCATTATTTCTTCAAATATAAATTTTTTGTCCCTTTCTCTCCCTCTTCTCCTTCTGGTACCCCTATAATGTGGATGTTATTCTATTTGATGTTGTCTCAAGTTATGGCGACTTTTTGTAATTCTTTTTTCTTTTTGCTTCTCTGTTTGGGTATGTGCCACTGTCCTGTCCTTGAGATCACTGATCCTTTCCTCTGCTTCATCTAGTCAGCTGTTGAACCCCTGGAGTGTATTTTTCAGTTCAGTTATTGTAGTCTTCAGCTCTGTGTATTCTGTTTGGTACTTTCTTATATTTTATACCTCTTTGTTGAAATTCTCAGTGTGTTCATCTCTTCCTCCTGAGTTTGATGAGCATCTTTAGGACCATTATTTTGATATCTTTATCAGGTAAATTACTTATCTCTGTTTTATCAAGTTTTTTCCTGAGGTTTTCACTTGTTTTTCTGTTCTTAACATATTCTTTTTTGTCCCCATTTTGCTTGATTATCTGTGTCTTTTCTATGCATTAGGTGAAACAGTTACTTTTCCCCATCTTGAAAGAGTGGCCTCATGTGGAAGATGAAACTTATTGTTCATCCTTGCCCTAATTCTTGGTTTTCTCCCAAATATTTATGATGTCCATTCATCCTGTTTTATTTTTCATAGCTTCCAGTTGTTGTGGGTATGCCAAGACCTGTCAGTGTTCCACATGGCAGAAGCTCAGTCAGCATCTAATTTTAGGCCAATTGAAATAGGACCTCAGACAGCAGGTTTTAAAATATGAAGTGTATAGAGTCCTGTGGGACCACCATCATAAACCTTGCCGGCTTCCAGGCTAGGTGATTGGAAGTGTCTTTTGTGCAACAGTTGGGAAAACCAGGACTCCAGACACCAAGTGTATAAGCTCCTTTCTGGGAGGTACTAGTGAGCTGTGGTAAGACAGAGAGATCGCAAAGAAGGCACCTCCAGTCAACACTGTCTGAGAGCCGGTTGACCAAGGAGAGTCCCTTGTTGAGCAGCAACAGAAGCTGAGGTACTAGATGTAAAGCTGGGGCATTAGACATGAGGAAACCCCCTCCCAGAGACACTGGTGGTCCAGATGCAGTAGAGAGAGTGTTGGATAGGGCCCATCTTCTGAGACCTCTGGGTAGGTTTTGGCGAGCCCTTGGGATGTGTGTTAGAGTAGAAGCCTGCCCCTCAGGCAGCGGCTGCAGTGGTAAGCTGTAAGCCTCTTTCACAGAGAGACTGAGCTCATGGGCCTCTTGCTCCTTGCTGTGCCCTGAGGGCAGTTGCTGTTTAATGACACTTTTTCTGTTTTCTTATATTCTTGAAGGGCCAGTGTACATAAGCTCTGCTGGGCTCCAGAGCCAGGTGATATAGAGATGTCTCCTGGCAGCAGCAGCAAAACATGGGGCACCAGACAAGGGTATAAACTCCTTTCTGGGAGATACCAGAAGGCTGGAGCAGGGCAGAGGGAGAGCCCAAAGACACATCCATGACCTCTGTTCCCTAGGAACGTCTCCCCTGGCCTTTATGAATATGGCAGACCAGAATTTGTCAGACCAAAGCTCCTGGACAAGTAAATAGGGCTCTTTTTTGGAAAAAATAAGTGCTATGTTTCAGTCTGCCATTGGTGAAGTGTCCTGGGGTGGCTGCCAGCCAAGAACTGTCTCTCTGATGGTTACAGTCCATGGGACCCAAGAGCGCAAGCGCTCCTCGCCTCATGAGCCAGCTTTCCAAGTGGCGTCCCCTAGGCTGCTACCATAAAAACTGGGGCTCTGTATGTAAAATAAAAAGCATGGGTACCAGGTATATGTACAATCTCCCCTCCACGAGACACTGGCACTGTGGAGTGTGGCAGAAGGAGAGCTCATGAAGTGCACCTGCAGGAGTTAGCTAGGCAGTAGGGGTGGCAGGGATGGCACACACTGGCTTTAGCAAGGCAGAGGGGGAACATGAGGGGTGCCTGACACTTTAGTGAGGCAAAGGGGAGATCAGTGAGGCAACTTAAGCAAAGCAAAGGAGGAGCACAAAAATGGTACCCGCCAGTGCCTCCTTCCTCAGAAAGAACCTTGACAGAGCACTCCCCCTCTGGTGGATGTATTAAAGTTGGCAAATTATTCCCCTTCACATATGGTCTGGGCACTTTTCAAACTGCTGCTTCTGCCTTGGACACTGAAGCGAGTGAGTACTTGCACAAACGCCTTAAGGGCAGTTTCTCCATTCTCTGTATCCATTTGGGCTCGTGGTCATAATTCCCAACTGTTTTCAAAGTCAGATGTTTTGGAGGCTTGTCTTGCAAATACAGAACTTCAGAGTTGGGGTGCTTGAGTTGGGGTGTGAGTCCCTCACTCCTCGGGGAGAAGCTCCAGGTTTATGAGGTCCCCCTGTTTGTGGGTTGCTGCCACAGGGATGGGGATTTGGGCAAGACTAACTCTCAGCCAATTTTAACAACTACCTTAAAAGGTCATTAAACTTTATTGTGAACTTTCTTAAATTTCACACAAATGGAAATGTAGTGTGTGTACCATAATTTTTGTATGCCTCTTTTAATTCATCAAGTTATACATTTAAAATGTGTGCACTTTGTAGTATGTAATTATTCTTCAACAAATTACTTACAAAGAGAAAATTCTAGAGGTGCCGGGATCAGAACAGGATCCGGAGCACAAGCAGCTACTTCACACTGAGCAGCGGTAGGAGACATCTCTTCTACCTGAGTCGAAAAAAAGTGTCATCAATGGATGCAGGGACAGTGGAAGTAAATTAAAGCAATTTACGCTTGATCCACTTTTTTTGGGTAAAACTGCTTTGGTGGCCTGGGGTTCACTGATTCGGATCCCGGGTGCAGACATGGCACCACTTGTCAAGCCAGCAGTGGCGGGCGTCCCACATATAAAGTAGAGGAAGATGGGCACGAATGTGAGCTCAGGGCCAGTCTTCCTCACCAACAAGAGGAGGATTTGTGGGGGATGTTAACTCAGGGCTAATCTTACTCAAAATATATATATATATAAACAGAGTTAACTGATCATATATTGGTTCAAGTGAGAAGAGCACCATGGCCTCACACAATATCATGGATGAGCCTTAGAGACACAGTGTGGAGACTCACAGCTTGCAGACCCACGATGAGATCAGCAGAGCTCAGAACAACTCCCCACCGTGCAATCCCTCTGGTAATAAAGGCAATATATTAAATTTTTTCTTTCAAGATGGCTTGTTATGAAGCAACAGGTAACTGATTCAATAATCAAATTGAACAGAAGGGAGGACAATTATAATAATCTGCTCCTGGTTATTCTTGGCATTTGTTCTTATCTTTGAAGACAGCGTTCGTAGTTACTCTGTTATTTTAGTTTATTTTAGACAAGTGTATCTTAAACCTCTCATAAGGGTTCATTTCCAGGTAACCAGGAAAGACTGAAAGGACATGCATGTTTGTTCAGGGAAACTGGGACCCAGATTCACATGGCTGGACAGGAAGTCAAGCTCTCTTTTGAGTCATTCTTTAACCATAAAATATACATATCCTGAGCATAATGGATGATGAAAATGATCATTCAACATCCCTTTCATGGTGATGACAATACCTAGAAGGGGGAAAACATTTTTTCTTTATAGAAATGGAAGCATTTGTGTTATAAATAACACTGGAAGTTTGCAAGCAGAAACAAAAGGTAATTCTATAAAAAGTAGAAAAACATCAATTAATCCTTCTTCAAAAATATAAAACCGTTTACACATGGCTACCAATCCTCCATACTCCAATGAGTAGATGTACAGAGTAAAAAATAAATATTCTGCACAGAATACAAGATGTTATTGTAAATTTTGCTTCATAAAATTGAAAGTTCTCTGTGATTCTAAGGTCATATTGAGTCACTCTGTTTATTGAAACTTGTCCTTCAATGAAAAGTCCTCTGGGAGAAATGTGCTTGATGGGCATTTTGCCAGTGACTAGGGTGGGCCTTGTGGACACCAGGCTGAAAGAACATAAGATCCTAATGAGGAGAATAAAACCCAGTGACCAGTTACACATCACCACAGTGTGTCACAGTCTACATTATCTGGAGGAGCAGTTGAGACAGTGGCATACAAAGGAATGCCTGGCATAAAGTGAAAATTGTGCTCTCGGAGTTCCTCTATTATACAATTATACAAACTGCCTTGGTCATCAAGTGTAGCTTTTTTTTAAAACAAAAGAAAAATTATTTCTTATCATATATGCCATTTGAGAAAAATTATTCTAAAAAAAACCCATGCTGTTTCATTAAGCTAATGGGAATTTACAAATATTCTGATCCATGACTGGAATAAATTTTGAAAAGTAAGAAAACAACAAAGGGAAAAAATGTCAGAGAGCAGAAAGCTTAATAAAGGGAGTTACTTGAATAGAGAAGTTGAGGTGAAAGAAGTAGAAATACCAGGAAATAAATAGAAAGAACAATATCACTTCAAACATCTTATCAAATGATCATATCTTCTGTCTCTGAGGTTTTGACCTCTGCAAACATGGGCACTTCTTCAGTGCTGGGACAATTTTGTAGTTTCCTTCACAAAGAATGATTTGAGAGCCTTCTTTATGTCTTTGTTCCTCAGGCTGTAGATGAAGGGGTTCAGCATGGGTGTGACCACAGTGTACATCACTGAGGCTATTGCACTTGAGTGTGAGCTGTGGGTGGCAGCAGAGCTGAGGTACACTCCTAAGACTGTACAATAAAATAAGGAGACAACAGAGAGGTGAGACACACAGGTGGAAAATGCTTTGTACTTCCCCTGAGCTGATGAGATTCCACGTATGCAGGAAACTATCTTGGAGTAAGAGTAAAGGATACCAGCAAAAGGACCCCCACCCAGCAGGATGGCTGCAAAATACATCACCACGTTGTTAAGAAAGGTGTCAGAACAGGCAAGCTGGACCATCTGATTAAGTTCACAAAAAAAGTGGGGGATTTCCAAGTTGGCACAGAAGGAAAGCCGCAATGCTGTTAAGCTTTGTAATAAGGAATTCAGGATACACATGATCCAGGACACCAGAATCATCAGTCCACAGAGCCGGTGGTTCATGATGACTGTGTAGTGCAGGGGGTGGCAGATGGCCACAAACCGGTCATAGGCCATTACTGTCAGGAGAAAGATGTCCAACACAGCAAAGAGTATGAGAAAATAAATCTGTGTGATGCAGCCCTCATAGGTTATGACTTTGCTTTGTGTCTGGATGTTCCACAGCATCTTCGGGATGGTGGTGGAGGTGAAACAGATATCTACGAAGGACAGGTTGCAGAGGAAGAAGTACATGGGTGTGTGGAGGAGGGAGTCCGAACTGACAGCTAAGATGATGAGCAGATTTCCACACACAGTAATCAGGTACATAGTGAGGAAAAGCCCAAATATGAGGAGCTGCAATTCTGGTTTCTCTGAAAATCCCAGAAGAAGAAATCCTGAAATTTGTGTATTATTGCCTGGCTCCATGTGGTGGAAGTGACTTCTAGGAAAGAAGGAAATAAAATGACTAATTTTCACACAAACTCGCATTACTAACATACTTGAAATGCTACAATTTGTCATTTGTGGTCAAAAAATTAATTTAATATTATGTCTATGGACCTGGCCCCCTTTGGGGATCGCTCATGCTACATCTGATATGGAATTTTTGCCCTGATCAACTTTTTCTTCTTAAGGGTCATGTATTCTACAGTTTTAATGACAGATTCTTCATGTATTTCAGGAATATAAATTGAGTGTCGACCATGTTTTAGCCACTGCCTTGCCCATGTATACAAGATGCTGAAAACAAAAGTCCCTACAACTCACTGATGGAGATGAACATGCAGTGTAGGCAAATGATAACATTACGTAACATTTCAGATGGTGCAGGTGGCTGAGGAAAAGGAAAGCAGGTATAAAGGAGAGAGCGAAGAGGGTGTTCTGTTTTTCATGCGTATTTAGTCAAGACCTGAAAACAAGGCGACACGTGAACAGAGACCTCAAGTAGGACAAAGAGGGAGATGCAAGTTTACGTGGGGAAGTGTGTGTCTGGCAGAGGGAATGGTCAGCACAAAGGCCCCGTGGAAGGTGCTTCTTTCAAATGTTCAAGTCAAAAAAAGTGAAGTCAATGTTGCAAAGTGCGTGAGGCTGAGAGAGTGATGAGACATCGTGTCAGAAGTGTTATGGAGTGAGGTGGCCTCTCTGCTACAGCTGAAACCTCATCCACTCTAGCTCTTGACCTTTTTTAATCATCTGAATTGAGACAGATCCCTGTCTTAGTACTTTCTCTTGATTGAATACTGGCCCATCTATTGTGAGAGTCACCTTAGAATATGTGAGTCTTGCTACCCCTGTTCTGAGGACTTCCCACACTCCACAGGTCACAAAGACACACGTGCCTGCGGCACACCACGGCCTCCTGGGTTGTGTTATTCCCATGTCTTTCTCAGGTCCACGCATACTGAAAATGCTAGGAATGAACACAACCCAAGTTGGCCAGATCAATGATCTCTTCTTCTGTGTAATATGGACATGGTTCCCAGAAATTCCACTTAAGCCCAAATAAACTTGGGCTCCATATTGGAGTGACCATTTTCTGCTATCCATTAATATAAACATTAAAAAATCTACTCAATAAACAGAGAGAGAGAGAATAAAATGGATGAGGAGGAAAAGAGATCTCATAAGCTCAGGTGTCAGCTGAAATTTCAAGACACAGAGAGCCCTACATTCAAATGCTCTTTATTAATTTTGTTTCCAAGAAATCCCAAGGGTAGAAATGATCCTGTCATTTCCATCTATTAGTTAACATTCTGGCATCTGTATTTTAAGGGTCGTGTTTTGGAGTACATGGGCTAGGTACTACTGCCCCGAGAACTGTGTTAGTCCCGCAAAATACACAGGCACACACGCACAACCAGAACACATACACACACACACACACACTGTGCTGTGACTTCCTGGGGCCATGCTACTACCAGGCACTTCTGACCCCAGCCACAATAATTAGGAAAGAAATGACACAAGGGAAGATGTCAACATCAGATTATCTTTACACTAAATCATGTAAGTATACCGAAATTCCAGCTTGTGAGCCTCCCATGAACTTGTAAACATGGGACTGCATATTCATATAAACATTGGGTCCCGTATTTAATAAAACATAAAAAGCGCTTCAAAAACAGAGAGAAGAAAGATATAGATGATGTGAAAAAAAAAATCAAATAAGCTCAGTTGGTTCCTAGCAATTGTGAGGAAGAGAAAACTTCCTTGGTTCTGGCAGCATTCCAACTCCAGTTCAATCCCCTTCATGCTCAGAATAACTAACAAAGCAGCACAAAAACTCACAGTTTATCCTCAAGAGAAGATAACGTAATCTTACAATAATGAGACATATCACTAATCGAACATCCGACTAGAAAAATGAGCATAGGGAATAAGCCCTCGATGTATAACAGAAAATACGCAACATGCAAGTATTGTGAGGGGTTTTTAAAAATGAAAAGGTAAAAGACATTTTAAATAGTATTAAATGCAAAAGTTCTGCAATCAGGAAACTGAGTTTTGAATCTTGGAACTACCACCTATTAACTGTTTATCTATGGAGAGCCAAAGGAACATTCTAAATGTTAATATCCTCACCCAAATAGTCTGCAGGTGGTCGACAGATTTAGTCAGTATGCGAAAAATGCTTAAAATAACTTCTTCCTGTTAGTAAATGAACAACTATCACTTGTTATAAGTTGAGACCAACTTTTTTCTGCTACCTCTCGAGTGTCTCCATTGCTTCCCCACTCTGGGTGATGAAATAATTGTCAAATAAAACTCTGTAACATACCTTCTTTGCATAATAAATACATTTTTTTCATTGACTATCCAACATGGAGACAATACTGTAAAATGTACGTCTCAAGAACTGTTGTTGCAAAGTAATACCTACCTCCGTGGTCTGGAATTTCTAATAAATACAGAACATGCTCAAATACACCCCTCTTAAATATTTAAAAAATGTCTTTAGTTTACTATACATACTTCCAAACATAATACTATATTTTACAACTCCTTTGAACTGCAAAACTCAGATATGTTCTAATTTTACTGGAAACACTTTACACCTCCCATTCCTTCTTCATTCTTATCCAACTGGACTTCTTGTCCCATCATTTAATTGTAACAACAACCTTTGCATTTCTGAGTTCAAAAGATGCTTCTCACTTTTAACATATTAAATAAATAAATTATAAATTCATTAACCTACTCAGCAAAAAAATGGCAACATTTCAGCTTTGGCTAGACTGGTTTGGCTCCCAGGTGACCTCAGGTAAAAGTTCTCTTCTTCCACTCTCTCTGAACCTTTTATGAAGTACCCAGTGAGCTCTCAGACTCACCTGGACGGGATCTCTGAGACAAAGGTCTTCACGTGGAAGTCTGAATTCCTTCCTGGATGATTATTGTTGGAGATTGAAGCTGTGCTCCCAGACACTACAGTAGGAAGCAGTCAAACACCAGTTCCCAAACCAAAATTAAGATTCCAAGAGCAGTAACCATCCCCTGTCCAGCTCAAAGATTGCGCGTGCGGATAGACTGTCGCGGAGGAGATGTTTACAGCTCCCGATGTCTGCTCACTAGGCGCTGTTTGAATTGTTACTCCCACCTCTGAGCGCATCATTTCCCTGTGAGACACTGGTCTGGACACAAAGGAAATTATTCCTGTTGATTCTCTTTTCCCAAGAGACCAGATTAGAAGTCAAGTGAATTCATTTTTTATTACTCCTTCTCCATGCACTCATTTGACTTGAAGAAGTCTAACCTCCCTTGCATTTACCTCAATCTTGATTTAGTGTTTTCTCCAAATCTAGATGGATGAATCTGACTTGATTAAGTTACTTGGGGCTCCAAATTATTGACATGTGGGGGGGAGAAGCTCTTGATATTTACAGAAAATTGGTATTCCTCTCTTCAACAAGGAAGAAAAGTGTGTTCCTTTGATATAAGACCGTAGGTACTATAACCACTGGGTTCATCACACTTTTAACAACTCTATTAGGAGTCTCATTCTTTTAACACAAATTAAGAGCTATCATTTAGTCCTTCATTTGTAAATGTTAGTTAATTATAACACATATTTAGATGCTTTTATGCACCATAAACCTAGCTTAGGTTCTTATATGGCTTATCTCACTTAAGTTTTTAAAAGTCCATTCTGTGTGGTCAGTCCTATTATGAACCTCACTTTACATTTTCAGAAATGGGACTCAGAAGGGTAAAGTGACTTCTTCAAAGTTATGACTGAGTAAGTGATGAGTTCTTGTTGAAACTCCAAGTTGTTTTCGGTTCTCACGCTCCTATGCCAGGAATCCTCAACCAGGGGTGACTTTGCCTGTAAGGACACTTGGCACTGTCTGCAGATACTTTTGATTCTCACAACTGTGGAAGTACAACTGCCACCTAATGGGTTGAGGCCAGGGCTACTGCTCAGCGTCCTACAATGCACAGAATGTCCCCACCACAAAGAACTGTGCAGCACAAATGTCGACAGTGGGAAGATTGAGAAATGCTATTCTAAACCAGACTGTCTCCACCATCAAAGTGCATACAAATCACTCGTGGACCTTGTTCAAATTCAGATTCTGATTCAGCGAGAGTAAGGCTGGTCCAGAGATTCTGCATTTGTGACTGCTCCCATTTGATGTTGATGCTACAGTTTTGATCCGTGGACCACTCTGAGTGTCAACGCTGTGGTCCAGTGTTAGAGACAGATGTAGGTATTTTGAGGCCTCCTCCACTAGGAGCGCTCTCACACACCTTAGGTCTGACATTGTGATCAAAAGTTGGCCTCAGTAGTTCAGCTTCTGCATACACAAGTTTACACATCCCTCTCATGTATTTCCCTCATGACAGGAAACTGTACTTTTAAGCCCTTGGTTCTTTGTCTATAATCTCAGGATATTCCATCTCTGTTATGCAGTGGATGTGAGAAGTAAGCAATATTTTAGAGCTCAGCTATAAATATTAAAAACAGAGATTTTCTTTAATTCAGAATTTCTCAATCTCAGCATGATTGGCATTCTGGGGCAGATCATCGTCTGAGGTGGGGTCTGTTCTGTGCATTGCAGGCCTCCACCCACCCCTCTCCAATGCCACAGCCCAAAGCATCTCTGGATGCTGCTAATGCCCCTTTGGAACAAAATTGCCCCGGTAAGAGCCACAGTTTTCATTAACCATCTCAAAATGTTTTTGTTGTATAGGTATATCAGAAATTTTGATAAAGAATATAAAAGAACATCAAAAGTGTAAATGACACAGCCACATCATGAGAAATTTGGGGACCATCAAAATAATGAATCAGCATTTCACTTGTTTATTAGAGTGATGTCCGTAAGGTACCATTGAGTAAGAAAGAAAGGGAGAGACAAGATGGAATAAAAAACTTTCCTAAAACATAAAGAGCACTTCTCATGTGCACAAGAGTCTGCTCATGCATTTGAACTTAAGGTGTGTAAATATGTATGGGTGCATACATCAAAAGAAAAGTTTTTTTAAAAAAAAAACTAGCAACTAGGTAAGGAAGAATCACAGTGAGGATGCTATTGGCTGAATGTAGTACTTTCAAAACAACTGTAGGAAACCAAAGAGATTGAAAATCAGAAATCAACTTCATACAAATATAAAATATTAAAATTTAATGACATTCATGACTGGCTATTCATGATTAAATTGCTGAAGACTTGGAAAAAAGGAATATAACAAAAAGGTTTTTTTGAAATTCAGAGAGGAAGCAGTATCTAAAGTTATAATTTTATTTCATATGAAGATACAGGAGTTTAAATATGCTTATTGTAGATACAGATAATCTTTAATCAAATGTAAAGGAGATTGGCTTCCAGATTATGGGCAAAAGTGATACACCTTTTAGAAATAAATGTAATCACAAAACACAAAAAGGAAAAAACAAGGATTAACAGAGATGTTAAAACAAGTTGGAAATATGTATAATGAGTGATTTATTAGCACAATATGCAGAAGAACCTTCACTTTGATTTTTGTTTAAAGCAAAGATTCTCAAGTGAAGAATAAAAATGACAGCTCATCTTTCAGTTACAAAGCAAAGGAGGAACACAAAATAAATGACTGATAGAATTGACCACAGAATTTATAAACTCTTACACCTTCTCCTCAATAGATCTATACATGAACCAGTGAACCAAAAGGAAAACAGCTAGTTGGTGAAAAAAAATGCTTTTACTTTTTGAGGGAATAAATACAGAAACAGGAATAGCAACACTGTGACCTCATCATACAAAAGCTAAGGACTCCCATGGACAATTCACAGCAGAAAAGCGAAGGGCTACAAATCCACAAACACAGTAAGGTTCACAGATAATGAAATAACTGGAAAGTAAAGCTCATCAGCATACCTCTTTTCACACGTTACATAATTTTCTATCATGCGAATACCCAGAGTGAGAAGATAGCATGATGGATATGCCTCATGACCTGCTGATGTAAGATAATATTTTCAAGCATTCCTTAGTCTGGATCTTTCTCATCTTTAGGGAAATACAGTCAAATATGCTTCACTTCAAAAATAAAGACAGAAATGCCCTCACTTCACTGTACTTCCCTTCTCAGTTGATACGCTATTTTCCCACACTCATTAACTGCAAAGATCCCTAGACTTCTGTTCTGCTTTTGTTGGGAGAACTTTACACCTCTCATTCCCTTTTCTAACTGAGCATCCATTACTCTAATTTAACTGTCAACATTGGACCCGTGTATTGCTGAATTCAACGTTCACTTTTTGTTTTGACATTACAAGTGAATACATTAATTACTTGATAAAGCAAACAAACACAGTGAGCTCTGCAATCTGGGTTAGGCAGGATTGGCTCTCAGGTCACCTCAGATAAGCCTTCTTAGATTTCATGATCTTGAACCTTTCCCACGGTGTCTACAGCTCTTGGAATGACATGGATGTTGTCTCTGAGAGGAGGGTCTCTAAGTAGAAATATGATTTCTCCTTGGATGGTAGAAGAGAGAGACTGAAGTTCTATCACCAGTCAAGAGAACAAGAAGGAGTCAAACCTCAGTTATGAACAAGACTTAGGACTCCAAAAGCAGCAACCACGTCCCACCCAGTCCAAGGTGGCACATGCTGAGGGACTACAGCAGAAGGGACATTTACAAATGCTTATATCTGCTCATTAGGTACACTTTCCTCTGGTTATTCCAACCCCTGAGCGCATAATTTCCGTGAGAGACACTGGTCTGTTCAAGAGGGAGGTTTTTCTACTGATTCTCTGTTTCTTGGAGATCAGCTTAGAAGTCAGTGGGAGCCAGTTTTGCTTCCTCCTTTTCATTTAACCCTCCTGCCTTCTAGAGGTCTAACTTCCCAGTACATTATCACATC